CAACAACATTAACATTCAGAGGGAAAACGTGCTTTAATAGTCAGTTTTCATTTATTGGGAGCCTCTCAAGGTCACCTTGGACCCCATACATAGTAAATTCGGATTACCCATTAATTATAAATATCGATGAGTCTTCACTAAAAATTAAATTTGTGACATCCAAAATTATGGGCTTGCTTGAAAGTTCACCCATGCAGCATTCATTACCCATGTACACATGTCTCAAGAGTANGTGACATCCAAAATTATGGGCTTGCTTGAAAGTTCACCCATGCAGCATTCATTACCCATGTACACATGTCTCAAGAGTATTTTTTTTTTCTTTTTTCAGAGGGGGTTTCAACGGTTAGGGGTATCCATATAACAACAAATTTCGTGCGTAATATAATACAAAATAAAGTCAAATTATAATTGTTGATTTGAATAAAAAAATAATGTTGACCCTCTTCAGCATTTTTCTTATGTGCACTGTCCTTTGAGAGAATTTGGTGAAGATGAGAGACAGATTGGTGTGTTTCTCGACATTTAATTTAGGGGCTGTTTGGTGAATACGAGAGCTGGATCAGCGTGTTTCTCGCTCTTTGATTTGGTGATTGTTCTAATGAATTTTCTCATCATTCTTTATTTTGAATGACTTAAAGATGATTTGGTGAAGATGAGAGCGAGATTGGCGTGTTTCTCAACTTTTAATTTAGTGGCTCCTTGATGAATACGAGAGCTGAATCAGTGTGTTTCCCGCTCTTTAATTTGATGATTGTTCTAATGAATCTTCTCATCGTTTTTTATTTTAAATGGTTTAAAAATGATTTGGTGAAGATGAGTGTCAGATTAACATATTTCTCGACTTTCAATTTAGTGACTGCTTGGTGAATACAAGAACTAGAACAGCGTGTTTCTTGTGTCTTTCATTTGGTGATGGCTATAATGAATCTTCTCATCATTTTTCATTTTGAATGGTTTTAAGATGATTTGAATTTCTTAAATAAGGACTTTGGCGAGCTTCGCTCACCCGATCTTTCCTTCTCCCTCACTTATTCTCCTTAGCCTTCTTGGCCTCCTCCTTTGGCCTCTCCCATACCCTTTATTTATAGTACTCTTATACCCTTTATTTATAGTATCGAAAATAGTTATCTATATAAAAGTATTTTACTTAAATACCCTTATATGACTTTAGGTAGTGGATCACCCATATTTATTTAAATTTATGGGCTTTGGATTCAACACAATTTAATTTGACTAGCTTAATTAATTAAATTTGAGCTCATATTATTTGGACTGTAAAATTTGGGTCTAACTCAAGCCTTGGCTTGTATTATTTGGACTTATAGAATTTAGGTCCAACTAAATTTAATTTATTTGATTAGTTTGAGCCCAATTACAGACATTAATTTGTTAATTTTTAAATATCTATGGTCCAAATTAGTTTACTCACAACTCAACTAATTTATTCTTTGATTCGATCAAGGCACGTCATGAATGACTGTCTCAAGAGTTTTATTGTACAAGTGAGTCTCCTCATATATATTATAGATCAATTATTGTGAATTTAAGAGTAAAATTATTATACTATATATAAGTAAATTATTTGCTGACTTAATAGTAAATGATTGATTACTAAAAGCATGAAAGACAAAAAATTATTGTAGAGGGTCTCAACGGACGCGGAAAAAAAATGATTATTTTCAAGGCATGTGGGCCGTGAAACGTTGGTGGGCCAATGGGAATGGGTCCTTTTTCCACTGTTTGGATGTCATCTCTCATTATTGGTCCAACTCCACCTTTACGTGATCCATATACGGCCACGTATTCATGTTACGTTTTTTTTTATGTGTGGGCCCATTTTGTAGTTCATCTAAGATTCGTCGTTTTTCTTTTTTCAGTTTTTTTATTGCACCTCATTAAATTCCTAAATTATAAGTACGACCCCCTACTGTTTTGGATTTGGACACGGTTAGTCTGGTCCAAACAGAGCTATTGATATGATACAACAGTTCAATTTCTTTTTCTACGGTATCGAATATGATTGGTCAAGAATCCCTCCACGTTTTAAAAAAAAAAATTTGCTATGATTTTTCGCGTCTATAAGTTTCATATGTCACAAAAATAAACAAAAATTCTTTTAATAACTAAATCTTGCAAATTTTAGAGATTATTTTCAAATATTTTTTCGGAGTGATGGTATATGTGTATTTTATTCCATTTTAATTGCATAACTATAATCTAAACAATTTTTTTTCTACGTTTGTTGTTAAAATTTTAGCACACTAGCCTCGTCGAGAAGGACAACGCGCTAATTCTTACCGGTCAAAATTTGATGTACAATGTATCACTCCCAAAGTGATAAGGGACAAGTGTTTTTTTGTAGATCTACTGGCTTATCAAAAGACCTTATCGAGCAATTAGTGATTTAATGTGACATTAAAAAAAATGTCTTATTTTTGAATATAATTGACACCTTTAAAATCATGATATTGACCACTATTTAGGTATTTGATACATCTTTAATAACTCTATTTTTTTTTGTTACTTACCAAAAAAAAAGCTATGTAAATACCTTAATGATTTGGAGGTTAAATGGAATTTGTGGGCTAATATACGAATTTAAATTTGTTTGGGCAATAGGAATATTTTGTAACAAATGGTGAAAAGTGGCAGTCCAGAATGGTATAATTACAGACCAGCCCCCACAGGTACCTGTAAAACACAAATCACGTGGTGGTTTCAGAGAAGGGCGAAGCTTCCATCGAGTTTGTGTTAGACCCTTCTCTATGAACTAACTGTTCTGATTCCAAACAAAACCGTCAAACCTACCCCCCAATAATTAAGTCTTTTTTTTTTTTTTTTTCGTTTTATGTGTTTTGATGAACACGTTATGTTGACTATCTGATTGTTAGGTAAATGATATAAATCATACTCATAAATTTCAACCCAATTGTACATTGATTTTAAGGCTGATTTCATACCAATTATAGAACGGGTCAAGAGTGGAGCAAGCCGATGTTGAGATCCACTTTTGATCCTAAAAAATGGTAAAGATGGAATACAACTTTAAATCTCATATATTACACGATTCTTATCTAGCGAAACTCAAATGACAATTTGTAAAGAGAGGCAATGTACCATTTTTTTTTGGTCTACAGCTAAGGTAAGATTTTAGTTTGTGCATAAACAAGTTATGTCAAATATGCTGCTAGGTGATACTAATTTGGTGTAATTACGTCTGTGTGCACATACATGAGAAAGTATATACGAAATCGTGATTCATATCTGTTTCACATTAATTTACGATTTATTGTTTTGCTTAGATAAAAATGTTCAATATCATTGAATTTCAAATTTATATATCGTTTGCGTCTAATTGATTGAAATTCTTTCAATTACTTTCACTTAATGTTATTTGTTTGTAAATCACTTACCAGGATTTTACAAGTAAAACCCCACATCTATATATAATGGCTGATAAATACAATCAAATGAAATTATAGAAGATAGCTGGACAATTTTTTATGGTAAAATTATGAGAAATTTATCTCTCATAAATATTTTAATCTCGGCATAAATAATCTGTCTTTTAATCAGATTAAGAAATAAATTAATTGAAATACGTGTAAATTAATCCGAACACATCTTATAATTAAAAAAACAATAGAAATGATAGTAAATAGAATCGAATTCTGGGCCTACCAGCCTAATTTGTTTATTGCAAATTTGGAGGGTATTAATGAGAGATGCTTTATGGCACATGGAAAGGGACCCTTAGCTTGAACGAGGCCAAGAGGCCAATCGTGTAACTTGTAGGGTCTGGCAAGAAATTTAGAGATTGGTAAAGCTGACGTTTTGACACGTCGATATATATTTCTTTTGCGGAGGCAACACAATAATTCCCCCAAAAAAACAAATTAGTCACCAGTACTGTACCACGTAGCCTTTGAACGAAAATGGGTCCCAGTACTTACCTGCGTAGTGGGTCCAGTAAGATTTTCCAATTTTCTGGATTGAATAAGGAGCTTTTCCCGAACCCGCTTCCTTCGAAACTTAATTCCATAATTCAATCACTTTTAAACTTATTTTTTAAATTTAATTTTTTTTTTAAAAAACGTCAATTAAAATGACACTTTCTCCCCTAAAAAGGTCATTTAGAATGACGATTTGGACATAAATTTTTTTTGGTCATTTAAAATGAAATTTTGTAACAAGAATTTTTAACGGAGTGTAACAGACGTTTAAAAAAATAAAAAGATTAAAAACGTCATTGTAAATGACATTTTTTATGTCTTTTGTTTAATCACGTTTTCTACCTCCTTAACCTTTATATTGACGTTTTCTATCCCTAAACCTTTTACATTAACGTTTTCTACCTCTTAGCCTTTTGTATTGACATTTTCTTTGTCAAAAGTCTCCCACCACCAACTTGTAATAAATTTTATAAAAGTTAAATAACCACACGTTATGTCTCAAATCATGATTCACTAGACAAAAACAAAAAATTAAATAAATTTTATAATTTAGTTCCCTTTTCATAAAAATTTTGAACTTATTTTATAATCGAAAATAAAATTCATAAAAACATAATTTAATTTCATATTGTTCAATATAAAAACATATTAATAAAACATATATTTAATAAAAAACCTTAAAAGCGTGTTTTGAAAGCACATTTCTATATCAAAAAATATGTTTTGTATATGTTAAAAATCTCAATATTATAATCTCACTTCCCATGTCATAAAAACATCTCAATCTGGAGGAGTTTTTTCCCAAACTCAATCGGCCTTAAAACTTTATTTCTCATACTCAATCTTTTTTTAAAAACGTCACTTAAAAGCTGTGTTTTTTAAAAACGTCACGTGGCCCATCATGTATGTTCCTCGCCAATCTCACACTCAGCATGTTCACCACCAACAACGACAACAATAATATTAAGACGAGAAGTTTTGCAAGACTCCACAAGAGAAAATAAACAAGAAAAAAAATTGAATGTAAGAGCACGGGACAGACAAAGAGAACAGAGAATGTGTTTAAAGATCAACATAAAGAATCGTTCAGCAGTATTGTTCAAATCAGCACTCTAAGCTTTTGCAAAAGAAAAATCTATCAACCTTCACTCTAAAGCAAAGGGCAAGGACATGCAAGTATGTACAACTACAATCACAATTGCTCAATAGACTACATACACTTTTGAAAAGCTCATCAGCTCTACAAGGGCTTCCCTTCAAGTCTTGCACCTCCACAAGTCTTGCACGCCCATGACAGCTGGCCTCTAACAGAGCCTCCTCGCAAGCCGCCTGAGATGCCCCAGCTTTGAGTAAGATCTCCAATATCTCAAGGTGGCCCTCCCTTACTGATGCAGTTGTCGCAAAGCCCCTGAAAGGTTTCTGGTTCACATCGGCTCCCATACTGTGTCATTTAGAAAAAATGCCAACACTCAGCATATTGCAGAGACGGTGAAAAAACTCCACAAGTAGACATTATATGCATTTGTTCTTTTCTTTGCTAAGAATACACTGCCAGTACCCTTGGATTCTTCATTGAGAGCTAGAGGTCATGCACACTTGAAGACAAAAAGGGGGAAACATAACTGATGGGCCAGACAATTTGTGTCTATGCTGTAATTTATTTACTTTAGGCTCTACATTGGTTAATAGTTGTCCACAACTCAAAATGGGTCTTGCCCTGCTCATATATAAATATTCCTTATCCTATGGATATTGTTGATACATTCCCAAGGAATTTATTAGGGATATCCAACCCTCACCATATTGCAGAGACAGTGAAAAGACTCCCAGAAGTAGACATACCGTGCATTTGTTTTTTCCTTGCTCAAATTTAGCTAAGTCAGAAGAACAATACAAGGCTAATACCAGGAGAAGTGTCCAGGATTCTCCATTGAGTGCAGTTAAAGCTTCTTAAACTGGGGCTAATTCTCGATTTGGTTTGGATATTTGAGTATTGACTCGGGTTGATTTGATGAAGTTTCAATTAGTAATAAGGGATGGTAAACAAAAATCACAAAGAGTCCATACCACTAAATTTGTGCCTAAATGAAACTGAAATACAGAAATACTGTAGAGAATAGAATGAATAAACAAGAGTGAAGGTGCCAGGTGAGAACTCCAGAGAAAAAGTGAAGAGAAGAAAACAATAAGGGAAACCAAAAAAAATAAAATTGAAGAGCCGGCATATGCAGTAACAACCCCATATATTCAAGAGCAACATAGAGAACTAAGGTGGCCTATAATCTGAACCAAATCGCCCACAGTGAGCAAAACCCTGTTCACTAAAAATGCAACTGAAAATTGGCCAACTATGGATTCTAGAAATGGTTTGTCAAATGCAACTGAAAATTCACCGAATGTCAAATGCATCAGTACAAATTTTTTTTCACTGAATGTCAAATGTCAAATTATCATTATCAGGAAACTCATATATATATAATTGTCAGGAATTTTTATGAATAGTAAACAAAATTCATCTGAAACCCATCTGAACAATAAACAAAAAACGACATTATTAGGTCAAATAACAAACCGTAGCAAACTTATCTACATAATCAACATGAAATTACAGAAATAGTACACAAAATTTCCAAAAAATCCAATGGTAATTAAAAAAAAAATAGACAGATAAAAAATCAATTCGTTTAAGAACAAAACCCACCAAAACCATATAACCAACAAATCCTTAAATTAAAACACAAATCGTAGTTCTAACCTTTGTGAAGATGAGAACGTAGCGGATAAAGAGAGTGGTCTAGTTTGAAACCCCAACTACAGCTAATAGAGTTGAACAGGGGTTGGTTTTGTCGGACAGGGGCTGAGTCGTCTGGTCTCGTCAGAGAAGACGGTGGTTACAGTCGGAGGAGGAGGAGAGATCGATCGATCGATCGATCTAAGACAGTGGGCTGACTAGTTGGAGGAGGAGGAGGAGGAGGAGGGAGGAGGGAGGACCGATTTGTGAGAGAGGAGAGACCGACTGAACTGAGAGAGGCTAAAATTTTTTTAAAAGGTTTTCTTAAATGACGTTTTAAACTCTTAAATTTTAAAAACATCATTTTAAATGATGTTTTTAAAAACGTCATTTAAAATAACGTTTTCATCTCTTTCTAATTTTTTAACGTCTGTTAGTGTCGATTAAAAAAATTATNTTTTTTTGATGTGAATGACCTGCTTTTAAGTTGATCGAAGAAATAATTACATCGAGAGAGTTTGTAAAATTGAATAAATGGAGGGGATTAACTGCCAAGAGTCCTTTGTATGGTTCACAAGTACAAATGTGTGAAAGACACAAACTCAAACTAGATTATATCCAAATTTACCTTCATAGAACTCTCATTAACTATTAACACCGATCTTTTTACTAACTTTCTTAGTTAATTTGTTGTTAAATTTTAATATGTTAAGATTCATCACCCAACCCAAAACAAAAAAGGGTCCGGAGAATGTTCTCTTCCCTTACCCTTTGTATCTAAAGTTCCCAATTTTTCTGGTAAATGCCCAAATCGTGTTCGACCTTCTTTTCTCTATAAAACAACACACTTTCTCATGAATCACCTCTCTATCTCTATATATATGTGTGTATACATACATAAACACAAACACACACACCTTTTTTACCACCTCCCCCGTTGCTAGTTCCAATTAAGCTGGACAACCAACTAGCCCACCATGTAAGTCGCTCCCACCCCGAGATCTATACAGCAAATCCACATCTTACACAACACCTCATTATCTAAATAGAACCAATTCATCAATCTCTCTCTCTCTCTCTCT